GCCTTCGATTGGAATGATTCAAAGAGCATTTCGCTTGTGAATAAATAATTAGTTTAAGAAGACTAAAAAATATCCCAAAATTTCAATTTTTTTTTTAATTTCCAATTGTTTATTAAATATCCTAAAATGATTCGAATTTTAATTTTAACTATAGTTAATATTCTGAAACTCTCCTAAATACCATTAACTACAAATAAATAATTTTAACTTTATAATTCACATATAATTCTTGGAAATATTCGATAAGTTCTTTCATTATAGATTCTCTTGATCCAGTTTCATTTACATTTTATGTAAACATATATAAACGTCATCGATCAGTTTATAAGCCTTTATATTTTGTCAATAAAATACGAATAATGAAAGTTACAGTATTCAAAATAATCTATAATTTGAAATCATTTAATATTCCTTGAATATTTTCATTACGGTACGGAAAGTTCTAGTAACTTGGCCTAAGACACGATACCATGCACCCCACTAGTTTTTTTTTTAGCTAAAATTGTTCTTTCTGCAATCAATTCATAAACTATGTAATGTTTGTCCACATCGGAAAATATTTATACAATGAGATAACTATTCGAATCAGTGATTGAGCAAAAATCAATTGATGCAATTAAAAAAAATAAATTTAAAACATCTAGTTTTATCGATGGTAACCTTTACGTCGCCAATATCTACGAATTGAAGCTTGTTTAAGCTTTTCAATAATCTTATTTTGATTCAACTAAAAACGTTCACAAAAAATTAGTCAGACAATCGTTAAGAAAAATCATTGGACTACTACAACAACGACTACTATGTTACGATTTAAGAATTTGTGAAAATAGGGTGAAAATTTAGAGTTATGTGCATTTTAGCATTTCTGCATTTACAGTAATCAAAATAAAGAAAATTCATCCCAAAATTTATAAAAAGTGTTATGCGTGAATAACCCTTGATAAAAAAAAACTTTTTTTAAGTAAAGGTTTTTCATTGGCTTAAGATGGTCTGAATATAAATTCGGTGAGAAACAATCCGTAACTAAAAAGAACAATTTATAAAAATTATTGGATTATTAAAATGACTAGTACAAAGTAGAGGTTTGTGATAAGAAGGTGGTCGTATGTATTTTTTAATTGCAAATTACACAAAATTATTTTAAATTTTGTGTAATTTTAATTATATTAAGATAATAAAAGATATTGATCCATGAGAAAATCTGAAGGGTTGACCAGGTCTTACTATACTTTGGGATTTGGAAAATATACGTTGGCCAATTTTCTATCATACTGAACGTAATTATAAAATTTCTTAAAAAATGATAAACCGTTTGGGAGGAGTATTGCGAAAAACACCATGACACGAGAATGTATGTATGTATGTATGTATGTATATATATATATATATATATATATATATATATCATGATCAAATACTTAAGCATTTATTTGACTATGCAGATGCAAAGACAGAAGACAAAAAATTTGTTCTTGAACTCTGCGTACAAACATGTCAGTCATCTTTTACGAAGAAACGGATTCATATCACGGCCAAGATTTATTGCGATTTTGCATTTTCTTGAATACATATAGCAGATATTCCAAATTAAATCATAAGGTAGAGCCACATTTTTAATAAAAATAAATATTACTGGTATGTTAGATGAAACCTGCTAGGTGCTCAAATAATAGATTGATTAAATTTGTAAACACAGTAAGAAATTTATATAGAATGAAATGTTAAGTTCTACATAATTCTTATATGTTACAATTAGCCTCAACGTTTTGTTTTAACTAACCCTAGGTGTAATTTTTTTTTATAATCAATAACAATTTCTGCAATCACAAAAATTGTTACACATTTTCCAAGGTAGATATATGGAACCAGAATAAACCGAAATTTTGTGATAAATTAATTTTAAATTACCTGTCAAAAATGACTGACCTGCACTGATCTGTTTACGATTTATATGTCAAATAGAGACAAAAAATATTTTAATATAATTTAAAAATTAACATATCTTATAAGATCCTATCGAAAAACGCATATTACTAGTTACCCCTGTTACAAACACATTCCATAATTTAATTTTTTAAAGATTATATTACTTTAAAAAATAATGAAGATGTTCAATCGCTTGTGATTCTTTTTTTTATTAATAAGCAGCAATCAAAATTACATATAATTCCATAAGCTATTCTGATATGATTTTTTTTTCTGTAAAAAAGAGATTATTATCAAATAGCATTATTGACCATAGTAATGTATATACATTACAAAATCATGTCTTTAAGTTCAATGAAATTTTTTTCTTATTTTCCTCTTTAATTCAATTTAAATTAAACTAAAATTGTTCATTTTGATTTATGACTTAATATATATTTTGTATTGTATTATTGCACTGTTAAGAGAATTCTTATTTATTTTGTGTTAATTTTATTAACTTAAAGCTTTTAAAATATTGCATATTAATAAATAAATTCTTTATGAAAAATATCTTAATTTGGCAAATTCTTAAAAAAAAAAACAGGGAAAAGTTAGTCACATGACCCAACCGTATGAAATCTGAAATATATTAATTTGAACATGTGAGGAGCAATTATACTTACATCATAGACCTGCCTTTGGACTTTTCTTTTATTTTCACTATATTTTCTGAATAAATATTTGGAAATCACTGCATAAAGTCGTTCGCATTTGCGTACGTTTTCTGATTCGTTCACATCGGACAATAAGTAAGAAAAAAAATGTAAAGGTTAGATTGTTATGTTGCGAGTTTAATTGTCTACATTTCTACGTTTTCTAGAATTAATAAGCAGAATATTATATTACACTTATAACAATAATTGCAGACGGAATATATAACTTGATTTTAATGGAAATTTTCTGTATTGTTACAGTAATTCAAAAATTTTGCCTATTCCTTTGGCTAATTATTATAATATAGTGTTTTCTGAAAGTTTAATTGAAGAATAATTTCGTAATCAATTTAAAAATTAAATACTTATAACTAATTATAGCCAAGCAGGCAAAAATACATATATATTATTAGAACTATTTTTCGATGCATTTTATAACTTTTGAGTGATATTTTCGAAATGGCTGAATCTGCTTCGGTCACAAATAATCAGCACATTTTTTTATCAATGGAAATCGAATATTTTTTTGTATCATTTACATCGGTTGAATCGTATTTCGGAAATCGTCGACAAATATTTGTATCCGCACACACGCACGCACACGCACGCACGCACATATGCAACCACTTTTTTTAGGTAAGCCAGGATGTTAAGAAACCATAAAATGTAAAGATTTATAAAAAAAAATATTTTCGATTTTTTGCGATTACTATAACTCAACCTACAAGAAGTTAATGAAAAAAAATTGAATAAAAATATGTAAAATAATTATATATATATGATAAATATATGAAACACATTATATGAATTTAGAGTTCTGCTGTGTAATTGTTGAGATCAAATTCATCAATGGGGGAATCCATAGATACCTCATTGTAATCCTCCTCTAAGGCCGAGAGACCATTTCGGGTCTCGTTAAATCTGCTCTGTTGCATTCCTTCATTTAAGTACCATTGCACAAAAGATTTTTTTGCATACATCAGGTCAAATTTTTTGGTCAATTTACCCCAAGCACGTTGAATAGCTGGTAGTATTTGATAACATACACACTGCTCTTTGAATTGACTTGAAATCACCTCCGGGAAGGGCTGTTGGTGGCCTACTATTTATGCCAACTTTATAACCGGTAGGGTACCAATCAACAAATCGGATGCATTTTTTTCTTAAAGAATAGTTATGGCAGTATTTATATCCTTTTGGTATGACATCTCGACGATAGAGCATATAGCAAGCCATATATTTACCTCTTCCTGTATAGCATTTTATCATTTAATTAGTATCGTTAAACAATTCAATTGTGATGTTTTTGTCCTCCATTTTGTCTTTATAAACTTTACCAGCAGAAACAATTGGAGCCTATAATGATAGAGGAAAGTGAATTTTTGGATAGTCTGGAATTCAGCTAAATCAACGTCTAAAACTTTAAATCAAAACTCAAAACAAAGAGAAGCAGTGATTGATGAAACCACTTGGCGAATCAAACGGTTCAAATTAATTACTAACTTGGACTGACAAATATCATAAATAGCTTCATTATCTACAATAAATGCTACATCTGCTGCTGCAATAGTTGCACGTGTAGTAAAAATGGCATTGTAGGTTTCAGCCTTTGAAACCTACGGGGCTTGATATGCTGGTACTTGAAATTTACATTTTTTTTTGGAAAGTGTCATTGGGTCTTTGCATTAACAATTATGAAAACCTAGATCCAGTACCACATCCAATAGAATAAAATACAAAAAACCTTGTTAACCTGTATATTGTTCAGTGAGCCTGCGCAAGCGATCCATAACATTATCTTTGGCATCTCTGTTGATTAAGTAGTGACCGTGAGTGTAGTTATTGGCAGCATTTTCTTTATCCCTTATCAGGTTACTTTTTTCAAACATGTGTCTATATTTTCCTACTAGAACTTCATCCATAACCGCTCTCATTGAAAAATGAGGTATAGCAATTATCTGTTTGCAAATTCTATCTTATACCAGAATCAACTAATATACCACTTGTTTCAATACCGTATTCAAGACAATAGAGTTCCAATGTCGCGTTCACTATTAGGACTCCAGCTTGGCCAACGTGTGTACTAATTGTGAATTATCGTGAATCTACTCGAAATTTTGAAACTCATAAACGAAGGAAACTATTGAACTGAAAAATGCTAAAAATTTTGACATGATTGTTTGATACATATGGGCCTACTTTGTTAATTTTTTTCCGCTTATACTACTGACAGATTTCAAATATGTCAGTAGTAAAACAAATCAATGTAAGCTTGATTGTTTAGCTCGGATGAGTAGTCCTCAAATATAATGTAAAAATAATTAGTTTTTTTCGTAATTAATTTAAAGTGTGATAGTACTTAATAGAAATTTACGCAAGATGGAAAACAGTGAACAATTTTGTTTAAAGTGGAAAAACCATCAGTCGACACTGATATCACAGTTCGACTCTTTACTAGAAAATGAATTCTTTGTGGATTGCACCTTAGCAGCTGAGGGAAAATATTTGAGGGCCCACAAAATAATTTTATCTGCTTGTAGCCCATATTTTGAATCCCTGTTGAGGCTTCAATATGACAAACATCCTGTTTTTATTTTAAAGGATGTTAAGTACCAGGAACTGAAGGCAATAATGAATTATATGTACCGAGGCCAAGTGAACATAAGGTTTGATCAAGTAGAAGCATTTTTAAAGGCCGCTGAGATGCTGCAAATTAGAGGCCTCTCAAATAGTGGGACAAATAAAGAGAATCAGCGTGTAACTAGTTCACCTCTTCCTGTTTCTACAAAATCTTTCAGTCCTACTATTAGTGAACCAATAGTCGAACTTCCCCCGCGTGATGATGACGTAGCGGATCAAAATACACCTGCCAATAGGGAAACCTCCTCTAACCCAACTTCTAGGAAACGAAGGAAGAGTAGGAGGTATAGTAATGATGTATCTTCCGTATTACCTGATAATCATGAACTCAGTCATTTAAGTAGTTATACAAAATTTGTCTCTCACCTCAATGAACGTTCAATAAACCGCACCAATGTAACGGATATGACTGAATACTCTTTAGATGTATTCCAGTCACCCTCTAAAGAATTGAATGTTCCTATTATCACAGAAGTACGAACACTAGAAAGTAGTGAACTAATACTTCAACCCACATCCGAATATGCTGATGCAAGATGCAATGACTATATTATAGACCTAACACTTGATGACGACGATATGGATGATATGGTCCAATCACAAGCTGGACCCAGTCATGGTGGTGAAGGATCCAGTCAAGATTTTGCTGGATGGTACAATATAGGCGAGGGTAGGACGCAAGATGAAGTGTTCATGGCAGCACAGGACGCAGCGGCAGAACATCGTGACCAGTCACAAGCTGGACCTAGTCATGGTGGTGAAGGATCTAGACGAGGTTTTGCTGGGTGGCAGAACGCAGCGGCAGAACATCGTAACTCACCAGATCTCCTGATTGTTGGCAGTATTGGATCGTCGTTAATAACTAAAAACATATCGATAGACCAGGGAGGCTACAAAAGTGATCCACCATTCTTTCAGTATGATATTGAGGACACGGCAAGCTACCAAAGTGGTTCACCAACTTTTCAGTATGATATTGAGGACACGGCAGGCTTGGGATTTGAAATGGATCTTGAATATTACGCAACACCAGCGATAGAATACGGAGAGGTTGATGAGAGGGTCATCAGGAAAAAGCTTAATAAACCTAAGAAGTCTAACGGCCCAACAGGGATAAAGAAATTTTGAATTACTGTTGTTCCTGTAGCCTAAAGAAAAAATTTAAAAATTAAATTCCAGCAGCCAATGAAATAGGCTATGCAAATATCCTTGAAGCCTTACTATGGTTAGTTACGAACTGTCATGAGAAACTTATTAGTGTATGATTATAAAATTTTATTTTCCTGTATTTCCTCATTTTGATGTAGTTTCATTTGTGAGTTCATTGTGAGTTAGTAAATAATATTTATTGAACTATTATGTTCAATAACAATCAACTATTACTTTAATAAAAATATTAAAGTAAAGATCACTTATTATGTAAAAAAACAAAGTTTTTATTCTAATTTATTAAATGAGAAAGTGTGGACGATGTGTATTATATATTATTATTGTAAAGATAAAAACATATTCTTGTTTAAATGTTACAATTAACATTTAGGCTAAGTATAATATGTGTAGGTAAGAATTTACCAAATTATATTGTATTTTTGTGTTATATTAATGAAATATTTGGGATGCTTTAGAACTTAAGTTATAACAATTGTTAAAACTCATAAAATTTTAAATGTAGCTTTATATATATATATATATATATATATATATATATATATATATTATGGTGGAAACATTTTTGTTTAAATCATTTACGCTTAATTTAGATATCTTTTACATTGCAGATATTTCGAATGTTATTTCATCATTTTATAAATTGCTTGTGACTAACAATGTTATTATCGTTAAGGCATATTTTTTCATATTTTGTTTTTGGTTTCCATTACACTTAAAGATTAAATAAAATTATTTTAATTGTAAAAAAACAGGTAATTCTTGTTAAATTTTGCAATTTAATTTCAGTTTTCCGACAATTACAACATTAGTTGAATAACCTGTACGTTTAAATAATATAAATCAGAAAAAAATATCATTAAATTTTATAAATTATTTCACCGATTGAGAAGAGTAGTACAAGACCACCAATCAATGTACAAACACTAGTAGCTAGTAATAATTTAAAAATTTAGAAATATATATTTAAGTTTATTAATAATGCTAAAATTAATTTATAAGTTAATTATTCAATAAGAATTTGTAGTAAACAATTGTATGAATGGCATCTGGCCTTATGATGTACGTCAAAAGCCAATAAATAAAATAAAAGACCATTTAGTTCAGATAGTAAAGAAACTATAGTAAGTAATGATATAAAAAAATATCGAAAAACAAACCAAATTATAGAACAACATTTGATTTTATAGAGTGTAAAGACGTGAACAAGAATAAAAATCGAAAACATGCAAAAAGTGCAAAAAATTAAATGGAATTATTTAAAATCCAAATTCCTTTTACACGTACAAAATGTAGATGAGTACTAAATTATTTTATAATAAACTCATGTTTGTATTTTACACTTCATAAAATATTTTAAAAACACGTAAAATAAATTCAGTATTTTTTTTTAAATTTGATGCATTTTAAATTATGTTAAATCGACTTGGCAACTTCAAATTTTATATTGAATCTAGTTGTTAATTTTGAAAATGGGCTAACTTAGTTTTTGATACAAAACTAAGATTATTCATCTAATAATTGCGAGAAGTTTATTAGAAACTATAAATTTACCACTTGAGCAGAAAGACTCAAGTCATATGCGTATATTATTAAATTCATTTTTTAAAGTCAACGTCCTAAACGTATATTTTTAAATTAATTAAAACGCAAACTCTTAAATTTCTCTATTTTAAGACAAATGCACTTAGGCCATTTATAGGCCAAAATATACAGACACACTTATACTTGCTTGGATACTCATTACAAATTATAAAAGCCGCCTCGAGGATCACCCAAACTCACTTGCACGAAAGAACTTTCTCACAAAATTATCTATCAGGGCAAGATCGAGAAGGAAATTCATGTTATATCAAAATCTGTTAAATTTTCAAAAATTTGCCAATGGTCAGAAGATTCTGTATTTTTAAATGTTTAGTTTTGTCTTAGTTTTATGTCTTGTCTTGAATTTTTGGACAGATGTACAAATTACTATACATTAACAAAAAAAAATTAAAATATAATTATTACTTATTTGTTCAATTATGTAGATTTTAATATGAAAGTTTGGACAGTACTCATTTTTACTACGTTTTTAGTTAGGCAATATAGTTAAATTTTAGTACTGATTTGAAATTCTGATGTCACCAACTACCATCAATATTTTTTAAATGTCTATCTGAAAAAAATTACAAATTATTTATGCATGTAAATTCAAAAAGAGTTCGCAGAGTATATGTTCAAGTCAAGCCTATTATATTATTATAAAAATATTAAATTAGTAGGTATACATTTCATATAATCATAATTATATTCAGTAGTCGTTGTGTAGCTGGCAGTTTATTCGTGTTAAGATAATCAAATTTATGTCCGACATTCGTGAGTTATATTAAATCTGTTTAGAGAAGTGATACGAGCCCACATGGTGGTAGTTTTGGAGTTGGTCACCAAAATAGTGAAAGAAATAGGAAATGTAAGTAGTGGTGCATGGCATCGTGCCTTTAGGGAAATTGGTGGAACTTATCGTATCGAAAACTGGGTTTTAAAAAAGCTCCGTTTTGCAAACTTTGAGAAAATTAGATTATTGAGAATTTTTAAATTTTTGAAAAAAAAAACTTCTGCCTCGTACCTTCAGACGACTGTTTTTATAAAATTATTTCTCTAATAAAAATTACACAAAACAAACAAAATTTTAGGAATGTAATGAAAATCACTTCAAATGATCATTTTTTGATTCAGTTAATAAAGGAAAAATTGTTAACAAAATCAAACTATACATTAATTATTCAAATTTGGTCCAGTCAAATTACCATCGGTCGCAATAATCTCTTTAATATATCAAGAAAAAACTTAAATCAAAGTCGCAGATCAATAAACTTTGTTTAATTTTGATCATTCATATTTTTTTTTGATAATTATTAATGTTATTAGAGTTAATAATCATTTTCTAAATTTTATTGAGTGGAATATCCAACAAATGATCACAAAAAATAACATTTTTTTCCACCAATTCTCCATCACTTGTGGCGTAAACTGTATGTGTATACGTAAAAAATAAAAATTAAATATTTTTTATCTAAAAAATAATATGTAATAAACCATCTCCGGGTAACATATTCATATACAAACGAACTCTTACCCTCTCATTATCTGATGGTACGTGATAAAAATTAGTAAACGGCGAATATGGCCAAATAAAAAGCCGACCAGGTTTTTAACCAAGACAAACGGATTTACAAAAAACGAGATATTTATTTATAAAAATATGCAAGAGTAATTATTGTAGTTTTGTGAATTTTACCGGATAAAAGATAGCTTCAAAAGGCGAGCTTTTACATGGTATTTCTGTTAATTTTTTATTATGTGTTCAGTCAAATTTTTGAAAACTATAGTTCAAGTTAAAAATAGATTAATTTACTTTGATATTGCAAATTAATGAAAAACGCATTTTTTTGCTTTTTGCTTGTTTGCAATATATTCTAAACAAAATGCACGTTTTTCTCTAGTCAAAACTAACAGATTTTATTGTGTCTTATTAGTACTTTTGCAACATAATTTTTTGGAGACTTTTTAGTTCAAAACCAAACTGTTAGTTATATTTCCTTTTTCTATTCACTCCAACTAAAATTCTTATGAAATTTTACCGAGAATCACATAGGTTTCTTACGCAAATGGAATTCTTGAACTTCGTATTATATAGGTTTCTTATTGGAAGCTTGGATATGGTTTCTTATTGGAGCCCATTGGATAGGGTTACTTTGCTAATTTTATCGCTATTATGCTATCGTTATAATATCGTTTTTTTGATATTTGTGCGGATTTTAGGTTAGTTTTTCTATCTTAAAACCTGCAAAATACGCCTGACTGCATAGCAATCACATGGCTTTTGTCAATATTTAGTATGGAAAGTTTTTCATAACATAGCCTTGTCATAACATTGGTCTGTTATGTGGCAAAATCGGTCCATAAGTTTCTATAAGGATAAACTGCGTCTGTATAAATAAATAAAAATTTGATGAAAATAAATTAAATGATGAAATTGTCCTCACTCAGTACGTCCTTAATTACGCTTTCCAAATACCTGAAAATAAGCGCCATCTTCTAGTTTCTAATTTGCCATCACTCTTTAAACTCTAATATATTTCGAATTGTGGATGTTGATACAACTTTGGAACATTAGATACTCTTATTTTAATGACTCCTTAAATAATAAATTAATACATTAAATTACTAAATTAATCTCGATTACACAGATGTGTTATAATATATTTATTCCTAAAAATATTTATTTTCCATCCAACTCGCCTGAAATGCATCTTTACTCCCAACACATTTGGGAGTAGAATTCCCTCGTTATTTCGTTCCTTACTGCGCCGTTGTCTTGATGGCATGCGATCAGGCACATATACGTGATCTGAAATTTCATATTTTCTGAAAAATGACACAAAAATATAAAATATATGTGCGTACTATTTACGCCCATTAACCACACCAGAAAAAGATACAAGTAAAGGAATAGTTTTATGAAACAATACTTATAAAACACAATTTGCTTGATGCTTGAAACGTGCAAATGATTCAGGTGCACGACGTGGAGTTGATAATTAAAATAAATTATAGTAATTTTATTCGGTTTATGGTAATACTCATTAATCTTGGAGTTAGTTTGTTGTTTACGTATACACAAAGCCTATGTTACTAGAATCTATAGTTACATTTAAAATTTTTGTTGTATTTAAAAGTACCTAAATACAGTTTTCATTTACAATTTAAAAAAATGAAAAAGAGTGCGCGTAAGGTTCAGACGCGGTTGAAGTTAAACTTCTTTCCTATTGTACGAGATGGCATTTAAATTAAAAATAAACACTTCATATAACAATTTTGAATAGTGTTTATTAGTAATATGGTAACACTCGTGATGCGCATATTTATTAGTGTCAAACATTATACATATTTATATAATGATAAATTATAAATTATAT